CAGTCAGATCTGTAATTTTTCACGCACTTTAATCCATATTTTCACGGAAAAATTACAGATCTGACTGACAACTTCCAGGTTGAAAAGTCCATGACTACATACTTCACAGACCTTAATGATCGACGAACTTTTCTATGTGGTTCAGAGAAAAGTAGGTGAAAAAACCACGGACGTTTCGTTTTTCAAATTTACAGTGATCGTATGTTTTTCTTGTTGATTGCTGCATTTGTTTTGTTACATTTTGTGGAAAGATGGTGAACATTACAAGATACTGCATAGCCGGAATCTGTGGTTTGAAACGGGAAAAATGTGACTGCAAAGGTTGATGGCAAAAACGTTGAAAAGAACGTTTTTTTCCGAATGTCACGATAAAGTCATTTCATTCAACGCTAAAAAAGTTGAAGTCAACGACAAAAGTATAACATCCCGAAAAAGCAACATTCAACATTTTAGCTAAAAGGAAACAACGGAAAATTAGCATCAAGTGAACAGACCAAATGTGCAGGCATTTTCTCATTGACAAATTTCTGAGCCTATCGATAACTTTGAGACGCTTTGTGTTTTATTGGGTATACTATTCAGTCTACTGGTGGCATCTTCTTTACTAACGTTTGCTGTTATATGGACTATGTATTTCAACTGATTAGAACAGGATTTTGACTGATCAGACTTTTGAAAATTCTCGACGTATTCAGAAAGTGGTATACTCAACTGCACGTATTGGCTACTATTTTCTGCCACATCCCTTCTGTTGTGTTGGAAGAGAAAAAAAACAAACAAGAGATGTAAGAAATCTTTCCAAAGAGAAATAAGAATCTTTTCCAGAGATAAATATGGAGGAGATTACTCTAGTGGAGGTGCTTGATCTAAGTACTTGATTGTTTGGGAAATATTTGAAAAATTTGGCAAGTAGTTTTGAAACTAACAACTACTTGTTATGAGCTTTTACAAGCGCTTCTTCGAGATTGTAATACTTGCTGCTAGTACTACGAAGCACTTTGTAAAAGTATGTACAGTATCACTTAACACTTATTTGTCGAATTAGACAAATAAGCTTACCTCTGAAAACGGCAAGTATCGGCTTTTAGTGTTAATAGACTGATGGAAAGAGTCTCTTCAGGCATTTTTGTTGTTGAAAAAACAGGATTGATTGAATGAAAGTTTTACAAAAAGTTCGGTGTAGATTTAAATTTCCGAATCTCTTCTTTTTTGAATTCTTACTACTATTACCGAGATATCTGAAACAACATCGTCCTCCATAATATAGTACAGCAAATATTTCAGCTATAGTAGTGAGAATTCAAAAATCTATATCTGCATTGAACTTTTTCTAAAACTTTCATTCAATCAGTTCTGTTTTTTTCATCTTAACAAAAATACCTGAAGAGACTTTTTTCACTAGTCTGCACACTATTTGATCTTCTCTGTGCGGGACCTAGATGCTCTCAGATACCCCTTTGCTTTTGAACAGAAAGTCATTAAGAATACAAATTAACCTGTTACATATCACCAAATCGAAAGATTTTAAAAGGTTTTTCGATCAAAACCGATTGTAGATTCGCCTTCTCCACAGTTGATTATCTTGTACGCAATAACTTTTGGGGACTTCAGAAAAAAAATGTCAACATTGTTTTGCTTCTGATCCGAGGCTGTGACTTTTTCGAAAATTTTTGAGCAAGACCATGAGAAAAAAATTTCTGAAGCATCCGGTCCAAAAACTATCGCGTACAAGATAGCCAACTATGGAGAAGACGAATGTGCAATCGGTTTTGACAGAACAAGCTTTTAAAATTTTTCGATTTGGTGATATGCAAGAAATAGGATAATGAAACATCAGTTCAAACATCCTCTGTTTCGCTATACAGCAACTCAAAATGGAAAGTGGTCACAAATGTTTTTTTTGATTTTTATTGTGTTGCTTCTCTTACCGTTGTTTCAGATTATATATCCTCCGATAATGTCTCATTTCATCACTCTTACACTTTTGACTTTACTTATCGCAACTGCGTTTGGTAAGTCATATGAGAGCGGAAAAGACTGCGTTTCCATATTAAATGTCTATATTTATACAATGTTTCCTCGTTTAGGTGAAGAGTGTGAATCGCCAACATTTAGTGTAAAATCTCATACGACGAACGACGCTCGTTTAACAGCAGAAACAGCTGCTTCAGTTGAAATAACAGTTAAATGTAAAAATAACAGAGTGAAGGTGTGTGATTAATGCTTAGAAAAATATACAAGATAATTCTTCTTTAATTATTCATCGTTTCAGACTGGACCACTTTATGCTGATGTTGACGGTCAGATAATACCATGCGGTCAACATAGTAAAAATCCAGAAAAATACTATGTAAGTTGTATAGTTAATGATTTTGATTTTTACATTGTCTAATCTATTTTCTTTTTTTCTTTTATTTAGCTTAGTCTTGCAGGTCATCACAAGCAGGTTCCACAAGGCAAACATATAATTAAACTCTATGATGTTGAAAGTTATTCAACTTTGAGAAAAGTGATTGTCTGAACTGAATCTACTATAGAATGATAATTTATCTTTATTCTTCTTTTTAGGCACGAAGTGAAGAAGCCGCTAAATCTGTAAAAACATTTGGTGAAATTGATTTTCATCATCGCGTAAGCTTTTTTATACAGAATACACAAGCAGTGATTCATTTATCATTTGTTATTTTCTAGGGTGTTAGTACCGGACCATGGATTCAAAGCGAATTCTTTGCAGCTGCTATCTTTGTCGGTGTTTGGTGGTTATCCTATGTGAATCGTGTAAAAATTTTATCTTAAAAAATTTACTATTAGAATAGGAACATTTTACTGTTAAACTGGGTTTTGTGTTTTTATAGCATAGATATTTATGATGACTATTTATAAATAATGAGGATAAATGTTTCCTCCTGTTATTTGTTATTATTGTTATCGTTGTTATCGTTGTTGATTGTTATTTTTATTTTGTTTTACATTTTTTGACTATGAAATGAAGACGATTTTTGATATTTATTATCACAAGTTCTAACTGATACGTATTGAAATCGCTTACAAATTTGTGTCTTAGACTCACCACTGTAGAATAGGATGTTCTATGCAGTATTTTGTTATTTCAGCTTCATTCTACACGACAGATCAAATTAGTTATCTATATATAAAGTCCTAAATAACATACAAAGAATAGAAACGCTATGTGTTCGATTGATAGTTTTATTTCGAATTTTAGATTTCTAATTTCATTTGTGTTTATTTTTTACCATGAATCAATCACGGAAAGCCTTATTTCAATCTCCACATGTGATAAGCAGTGATAATAACGCGAATGCGTTAATGTTATCGAATAAAATTGAGCTGGAAAACGCTACACAAATATTCCGTGTTGAAACTGAAAAAGAAATGGCTTTAGAACGTTTACAAAAAATACGCGAAAATATTCAATCACTCTCATCAGATGCATGGTTATATGAAGATCCAGATAAGCTGATTGGATTTCAACGAGTTCCGAATTATTAAAAATTCCCTCATTTTTCTCTTGTTCATGTATATAGATATGTTAAATATTAAATAAAAAATATTATTGAATGTTTCAGATAATTTTGATTTTGGATAAAAGTTTCTCATTTAGTTGGGTGCCAGTTTTAATCGAATTTATCAGGTTTTTTCTCTATAGCAAGGTCAAAATATCTTTTTTAAAACAGATCTTTGAGAGGATCTTTATACGTTGATAAACTTGGTTTCTCGTCGCATTTTGAATCAGCATCATATAAAACATCTAAAAATGGAGTCTCTTCTCAAATTTTGAACTAATTTTTAGTAAATGATGAATTTTTTAATTCTGCATGAAAATAGTCCGAAGTCGATAGTTTTATTCAAAGTAGGATATAGATGCTATAGATTCTTTTTACAAAAATTTAGTTATGGTATGTGACTAATGGATTTTTCATTATATTTCGAGACAAATAAATTAGTAGATATAATAAACAGACACTATTTCTGCTCTATTTAGAAATTTACCAATTTTTTATTTGAAACTATTTTGACTTATTTCTAAACGGAAAACTAAGATGATTTATTCACTAAGAAAGAAGAGTATCAGTTTTTTCTTAATTTTTTAATAAAACAAGGGACGGACCAATCTTAAGTGAAAAACTGTTCCCGATATTACTGTTAACTGGAGTTTGTAGACAAAATGTTTGTGCACATTTCTCGGTCTAGCCGAGCCTTAGAAACCTCATACATACCTACCTCATATTTTGGCTTTTGTCACGATGTGTCAAATGCATTAACACTTCCGAAAACATGATTTTTTTCTGAAATCTAAACTAGATGTAGGATAAAGTCTAGTGCATAAAAATAAGCGATGAAAACCTGTACAAAATGATATATGAATCATCTTTAGTAACCAATTAAGCATAGGGAAAAATATATTTTTTGACCAACTGGTATCTAGAGTTGAATACTGTATGACTGTTTCAATCTTTTTTTTCTATAAGTAAAAGAGGATGCGACTCGTATGTTGTATAGAAAGATTACGCTTGAAAAGCTCTGCAATATTCTAAGTTCCATTCCATCTGCTATACATTCGGGATTTCAACAAGTTTTAGAAATCAATAAAAAGTACTTCATTTTTAAGGTTTTTTTGGAGATCTTTGGAAATAAGAAATGTTTTTTCTAATCTTAATTGTAGGACCAGATTCAGCAGATGAAATGAATAAGTTTGGATCGATTTTGATTGAGTTATGAATTTTTTAATTTTCGGTAAAAGCAGCCAGAAATGGATTATTTCACTTAATATACATTTTCAATAGGTTCTTGAATTTTGTTCTGAAAACAAACATTGACACGAGAAAACCTGTCTCAGGAATTAACTTTAAGATTATCAGAGCTAATTACACTAAGATAGGGAGGCTCTCAGGGAATGCCTGTACCATGTGAACCATGGTAAATGGAGACTTAAGACTTGTGTAGTTTTATAGAGCGGAGTTCGATGATTCAAACCCACGTTTCAGCATTCAAAATCCAAAACTGTTTTAGTGGAAGGAATCTTACCTAAAAAGTATTGATTAGGTACAGCATGCGTAGGTGGTATACTTCATCCGATTTTTTCATAGAAAGATACACAAAACTTTTCTCTCTAATGGCGAAACCGCAGATCTGTAGTACTTTTCTATCCAAATTTATTCTAAAAATGGCCAGGTCTCTGATATTTTGAAATGGATGGTACTAATGTAATTTTCACCCAACATCAGTCTCATACCTGCCAGACTTCATACATTAGAATATTGTAGAGCTTTTCAAGCGTAATCTTTCTATACAACATACGAGTCGCATCCTCTTTTACTTATAGAAAAAAAAGATTGAAACAGTCTACAGTATTCAACTCTAGATACCAGTTGGTCAAATCTAGTTTAGATTTTAGAAAAAAATCATGTTTTCGGAAGTGTTAATGCATTTGACACATCGTGATAAAAGCCAAAATATGAGGTAGGTATGTATGAGGTTTCTAAGGCTCGGCTAGACCGAGAAATATACACAAACATTTTGTCTACAAACTCCAGTTAACAGTAACATCGGGGACAGTTTTTCGCTTAAAATTGATCTCTCCCTCATTTACATGAAAATGCAACGACAAAACTCTCCACACCAATAACAACAGATAAACGTAACAAACAGATATTTATTTTTCCAACTAACTTTAAGATATCTAACCTGTAATCACAAAATTTGACGATCAAAAGCCTTGTAGTTCTTGAGATGCAGAGGATGAAATACTTTTGGCTGGTACTGTAACAACGATCTTTATACAGGACAACTTGTTTAATTTTACAAGAGACTGAAGATTTATTAAATTTTATGGGGCGAAATTCTCTTTTTCGTTTAGTAGTAAGTTCTTGTCTATACTTTGATGTTATTTATTTTCTCTGGAACTGGTAGTAAACAATGGATAAGTTTGAATTCGATGCATATTGCAATAAGCGATTTCACAACTAAGCAATTAACTTGGAGTCTATTCAACAAAAGAGAATGCTTCGATGAATAGGATATTAAATACTGGAGAGATAGAAGGTCCCGTACACTCCCATGTGACTATAGATATTACTACTATCATCAATACTGCGTACACATATTTGTTTGTTCAATATTAGAAATTGCGTACAAAAGAAAAAGGAATAAACAAAAAAATCATCTACATTATACAAAATACATAGAAAAAAATCCGAAAGAAAAAAAGGGAATAATTCATTTAAAAATACAATGTAACACAACCTAAGAATATTAGAAAAAGAACAACAACGGCGCGATCGATGAGCCTGCTCAAATCAATAATGTAAGATCAGACTAAAAAAAGAACGAAGAAACAAAAAAAATACACATGATCAGCGTATTACACGTCTGTTGATTTAGACGTTCCGGCTGGAACAGAAATTATTTGAGCATGAAATATATTTTGAGGAGACGTTAAATTTGACGAAGTAGTAGACGATGAGGATGAACAAGATGATGTAAATGTAGGTAAATGATGATTATCAGTTAGACCCAATTTTTTTAATAATTCAATGGTTTTTTCAGGTTTTTTCATCACTTGTGGTGGAATTTTTCTATTGGATGATTCGGGTGAATTTACTTTTTCTATATTATATACTGAAGAATTGAAACGAGATGGTGAAATTGATTGAGATTCAATGAGAGCAGTGGAATTATTAGTGACTGACAGAGGTTCATCGGTTAAAGGTGATGACGAAGTCGACGATTCAGCAATATTTGATAAATAATCAGTAGTCAATGGAGAATCGAGACATTTAGATGCTGGAGGAGTGATTAGACCACATGTAACGGGAAGATTTAACACAAGATCAGGAGTAGCTGCTTCAACTGATGGTGGCGTAGCGGTGATGATTGTTGTTGTTGTTGTTGTTGCTGTAGAAGCAATAGTTTCAAGAATGTTGACAGAGCGATCTAATTCAGTGCGTAGTGCATGTGTCGATGATAATGAAGTTGGCATTGATCGAAAACATTGTGCATGACATTCTTCGACAGTACGTATCCCCGACAATACTTCTCTCAATGCAGTATCAATATCAATCATTTGTTGATCATTTGCTGATGGAACACGCACAGATAACTCATTTTTCAACATCATTGGTGGTGATGGGAGGCTAACATTATGAATGGGACGGGAGGGTGGCGATGTATGTTTCAATCCATTGAAAACATAAGAATTTACATTTATATCGAGACTTTCGTTTGACTCAGTGTTGATATCATCATCACTCTCTTCTTCATTGCCATTATCCAAAATGTCAGTCTCTTTAGCTGATTTAAAATGTAATTCATCGACAAGAGGTATATCAGGTGACTGACTAACTCTATCGTCTAATTCATTGGATGTCGTTACACTAATAGAATTTAATAATGAAGGATCAATAAGATTGACTAAAACATTGTTAGAACTGGAAATACGACGTCTAAATAAAAAAACATTTAAGTATATCAAATTTAGCTTTTATCTTTATTAAAAATACACACCTCTTTTTAAATTTGATGTATTTGTCAGGCACACAGCCCATTTGTCCATTTAAAAGATGGCCCTGCCACCATTCGTTACTGATACGCCTGTATATATAGATCGTGTCATTTTTTTTGAATGATAGTTCTTTATCGGTTCGTCCACAATAATTGAATTGAGCCAACGCTTCGATCGCTTCCGTTTCTAGACAAATAAATTAAAAAAAAAGCAAATTTTATTTTATTGATTCGAATTTTTTGCAATAACGAATAGCAAAAAAAAGCATTTTGAACTAAACATGCAGTTTACTGCAAATCGTACATGCAAATGGAATGATCGAATTTTAAGATGCATGTACCTTTTGGAAAAAATATATCTGATGTTTCCACACGATATCGTATTTTAACAATTTTTCTATTTTTGGAGGAAAATGAAATTCTGTTATAAAACGATATAAATATTCGAAAATACACACGCTGAAAGGATTTGTTCAAGTCTCATGCAAGGTGAAACTCTATTACAGGATTAGTATAGATGTGAAAGAAACAAAAACCATGTGTTTTCTTTTTTTACCAAACATCTGTTTCTATTAAATTCTGATCTTCTGTACAATAGTCTGAGTCTGCATAAACACACAATTTTGTTAGTGAGTCAAAAATATATAAAATTAATTAGAAACATACCGTCATCACTGCCAGTGCCTTCTCGATGTAATGAGCGTTGTTCACTAATACCTTCATCATCTTCGTCTCTATCAGACCCTTCTTCAACATCTCTAGAATAGACAAAGAGAGACATAAGCTAACTCTTTTATCTAAATACTGTTAAAAAGAAAAAAGTAATTTTAAAATGTCTAAAACGAATAGTTTACATGGATATGGTGGCAAATTTTTCGTAGACTGGACCGCCATCATTTGGAAATATTTCTTCGTGATGAGTAATTACTGTTCTAATTAATTCGATTGTATGTGTCAAATATTGTACTTGATCTTTATCTTCGGGTATGGGCATTAAACTAGGTGCCAAACAAGATGCCAAATTATACCCATCCATCATATTTTCATCGCTATATTCAGCCAGACTAAAGTCAAAAAGTATAAGTCACATGTTTTCGATGTCATAATAAATCTCAATCTGGAACATATTTATTATTGTTCTTCATGTCCATATATGTAAGTATCTATTTTAGCAGAGGATTAGAGAATCACATAATTAGAATGAATATTCAAAATGTTCGACATATGTGTAGATTTTAGTAGCCATAGAGGATGGGACAATCAGCTAATGTCAAGCTGTTCTGTCCATACATACATAATGTAGATTTTATACGTACTGATTTAAAAATGCAAAAAAATAACGCATAACTATAAAAATTGGTCGTGGTAATAGTTTGACCACTTGACGAAGATTTTCAACACATTTCTCTTCAGATTCTACGCCAACTAGAATATGAAAATAAGAAAATACTCATCTACATTAGTTAAAAAAATGATAAAATTTTATCTTACTTATACAAGCCATGAAAGAATCAAACATATCACGTGGAAACAACGGCTCTTTCAATTCACGAAAATATAATTTAAGACATCCAGCTACCGAATTCATATCACGTGCGGAAACATTGACAAGCGGATCTTCACCTAATTTAGAAAGAAAACAGATAGAAAATATGTCAAGAATTATTCATTTTCTAAAAGTAAACCTTTTTCGAAAATATCTTTAAATTGATTAATATCCACTTGTGCGCCTGGAACTCGAAATATACCCTAAAAATAGATGTTTTAGAGTAAAACAAAAGATCTTATTTTATGGTAAACAACAAATTAATTGTACACATACCTGATTATGTAATCCAAGTCGATTGATAGCACTCACACAACTTGATATAATCAAAGGAATATCTTGTTGAGTAACTTGAATGTAATCAATTAATTTTCCACCAAACAGACGTGGACGACCAATGATTGGTGCTTTACCAATTTGTTTCGGTTTATTTGGACGGCGTATAAGACTAAAAATGATTGAAAAATTAAAAAAATTTTTTTTTTTAACATAATACAAATGAATCATTCAAACAAACACAAACCATTTTTCATCTGCTTGAGAAGGAGCTGGACTTGCACCGAGCGCCTTTTGCATCACATCATGACGTGCTTGTAATCTCGATATTAAATTACTGCTAAGTGTATACTGTTTAAATTTCTAAATAAAAGAAGATTATCACGGTTTATTAATATCAACTTATTTTCTCAAATTATTCACTGACTTCAATATAATAATCTTCAATTTCTTTTCTCGTATCTTTTGGTGCACTTTGTGGAAGATTAAGATCTTTGAATAAATCGGATAAATCAGAATTTTTAACATTAATATAGTTCATTAGTGATTGTTCCGTAGCTTCAATAGTCTTAAAAATCTGATAAAAAAAAGACAAAAGAATAATTTTAATGTTATTTGATGAAAGTAAAGAATAAACCTCATCATTTTCAGTTTTAAGAGATGCTAAACGATTTTGTAATTGACCAAAACGTTGTTGCATTTCTTCACGTATTAGAACTTGAGCATTCACCGTGGATACCTACGGACGAAAAAAATTAATTTTTTTTGCAATTTTTAATTTATAATTGAATAATAGAAAAACAAAATTTTACCTCATCGCCTTTATGCGGTTCAAATTTGATTTTTCTTGGTATAGTAAAAACGGATAAATAATATTCCAGATATTTTTGTTTATCACCTACTGTATCCAAATCACCAATGGATCGATTTAAATTTTCAATTGTCATTTGACGAGAACGTTTAATATTTTCCTGAGCGGACAAATACATCATTAAACATTTTGCAGTCGATGTATGAAATCCAAAATTCATACACTAAAAATAATATGTTTTGAAGAATAAATTTTTATTTTTATGTCTATCTTTATACTTACATCAATTAAATCTGGTACATCATCCGTACAATATTTTGTTAATGCTGCATTAACCGATTCAATTGTTAATAAATAATCATTTCTTGCTTTAAATGCTTTCACTTTTGTTTCTGTATATTTCATTTGACGCTAAATAAAAATTACAATTTAACAAAAATTCATTAATTATAACAAAAAAAAAAAAATTATTTTTCTACTATTATCGATCGACTTTACTTTTTCTACACGTTTTTCCATTGATTTTTGTTTTTTAACACTTTTTAATTTTGCCATTTGTTGTTGTATTTGTCGAAGTTTTTGTTCGGCTTGTTTACTTTCACTTTGATATTGATGATAAGTTTTCATTGTCTAAGTAACAATCGATAATTCTCAATCAAAAAAATGTAAATAGTCAAATATACTTACACTTTGTAGTTCATTAAGCACTTTAAATATGTCCTCATGACTTGCTTGACCAACACTTTTACACTAATTAAAAACAAAATATAAATTTAAAATTCAAATTTTTTTAATTTTAACAGTAAATAGTTTACTTTTCCAAACATTCGACGTGTATCTTCCGCAATTTCATTAAATTTATCAGACATATATTTTCCGCATATATCTGACATGACCGTATGATATTTGACATGTGTACGAGTATCATGAACAATGCTGTCCCACAATTTGTATACTGAATGTAATACCCATGTTTCACGTCTTAATGAAATAAATTTGATATTTGTAAAATCAATTAGATGACGTTTAAAATCCGCTTTGGATTAGAAAGTTATCTCGATCATCATAAATCCGATCAGAACCTAACTTTTAGAAAATGTGGATGATATCGAGGAATAGTTACGATCATGTTTTGAAGATTATATGTACTTTTGTTTAATAGATATCACCCAAATAAGGTTAAAGATTTTTAAATTTTTTCTTTGTCCTGTTTTTTGAGAAATATTATTTTAAACGCTTAAAAAAATGAAGGAACTAACATATTATAACTTTCAATAGTATGAAAGAATGACGGTTTAAATCAAAAACTGGATCTTCTACGTTGTTTTCATGTTTTAGTTCCAATATAAAAAAATGAGATCATTCGGACTTTTGATTAGGAAGACATCTGTCAGACAGTGACTTTTGCCAAGCAAAAAAGCAGTTTCAGGAAAAACGCAAAATACATTTTTTTCTATGCAAACCAGCTTCTCTTTCGATTTATTTCGGTTTCAAAAGCGTAAAGAAGTTCTCCAAAGGGTTTCGACTATGAAGATTCTAATGCGCGTATAACCGCACATGTGCCTTATATGCATATCTGAACGTTTTTTTAATAATATCATGTTTTTACCCTATAAGACACATGATAGATACATTTCTACGGAACTTCCAGAAAACTTTGTGAAAAACGTGATTTCTAGAGAAAAATTCAGTTTCAATACATTAGAGAAATTATGCATGTCTCCCAACATTAACAATTTGTTACAGTAGGAAACTAGTCTTGTGGACCTAATGAATAGGCGGCGGGACGATTCTAATCTAGGGGAGACTTAATAACTTTTTTCAAACAATGATGGAAGGAAATCAAATATCGGAGCCACTCCAAACCTTTCCTCTTCCTTTTTATGGGAGGCCTGAGTCTACCCAAGCCTAAGGGTTCCGCCGCCTACGACCCAATGTCAAATAATATCCGCTTGTCAAGATAGAGAAATTGCTATTGATAGTAGAAGTTTAATTTCTCAAATACTCTTAAGAGCTAGATGAAAATGAAAGTAAATAGGTTTTTATTTGATTGAAGAAATAAATTTTTTATTGTATTTCTTCAAAATCAAAATACCTTGCTTTTTGTGCTTTATGTCTTTGATATGTTTGTTTATGTAAATTATCCAAATTTTTTGCATAATCAAGTTCAACTTCTGCACGACGTTTGAAATAATCTTGTATATCACTAAGTATTGATAATTGTACCTCTAAACGTTGTTCAAGACATTTTAATTGTTCATTTAATTGATAACGAATGTCTAAAAGAAGAAAATATAAAAAGATAACAAAATAAATTTCAATCAATGTTTCAACGACGAATAGGAGTCTATATTTAATTACGCACGTAATTTATTTCGTTCAAGTCGTTTTCTAATTAATGATAATTGTGTATTAGTACGTCTTAGACCATTTTTAGTTACACCACACGAATAATTAACCATTATTATTATGTCAAAGAAAATAACATGAAATTCAAAGGACGAATAATGATTTTTAAAATTTTCATGTCAAGGTTCATTTTCTCTCAATAGATGAAGAGTTCTTAATTGTGGACAAAGATGTGTGTGTGTGTGTGTGTGTGTGTGTGTGTATGTACCGATGAAAGATAGAAAAAAGAAAGAAAATATGTACTGAGTGATGAATAAAGAAAAAGAGAACAATTTTCCTTTTTTATTTTTCATATGAACAGACACACGCACACACACACTGTATTAGTTTATAAACATCGATATTAGAAAGCATTTACTCGTTCGAAAGAAAAAAAAAAAATAAAAGGAAGAACGATAAAAATGTTCAATGGCGGACGTCGACTAAAAAATGTTTGGTTAGATCATTGATTGTATTCATGTTTCTATTTGATTTGATTTGATTTTTTTTCTTCTATTTAGTTCATCCATGATGAATAGGATTTTGTTTCTCTCATTTGAATAGACACATAAAGAAAAAGAATTATTAGCTTTCGTCTTTTTTTTTTTCTTCTTTCTTTTCTGATGAACAATAACTATCAGGTGGTGCTTAAAGAATTCGTCAAACAGAGTATTTCCCCAGCTCATAGTGAACAAACGTAAAAAGCATGCATAGAGACGAGAGGATTCTTGTTGATGAAATAACAATGCGTATGTATGTGTAACTTAATAGAACGAATCAAATAACATTTAGTTATATATGTGTATACTGATCTGAAACATCAACTGTTACGTTATATTTTACGCATGAACAAATACGATGACAGAAACTACTTTATTTTTCAAAACATTCATCAGAGACGAATGAGTTTCTTTTATATCGTAGTATCCTATATTACGACAACATTAAAGAATAACGACTGACGAAGATTAAATTCTCAGCCGTGATAAGAATTTTTCTCTTGTTAACCTTCATTGAAACAGTTTGAGTTTAATGTAATAAAATATATCTAGTTAATGTAAAAATTTACTTTTTTTGCAAGGAGCATCATAAAAAGTACTGGAATCTAGTAAGTACGTAACTGCACACTCAGAACTTTTAACAACAATTTTTTTTTTGTTCAGTAAAGCTAAAAATTAAAAAAACTTCTGTCTAGAAATATATGAGATACAGTATTTGTTTTTTGTGTATCTAGTAGTATGGCTATTCATCTACGCTCATTTGTTCCTTGTTATAAAATCTATAAATATCTTTGATTAATATGATGGTATTATGCTTTGAAGCTTTTCTCCGAATCATGACGTAGCAGAATTACTGTTGTATCAATAGATGTAGAATTTCAAACTATACACATTGTTATTTTTTCCATAGATTGAGTTGTCTTGATAACACATGACTGAATTGAGATATTCATAACAAAGGCTGATAAAGAAACATACTTTGTCCACAACTTTTATGGCTCGTATTAATTTGTTGGCCTAAGATTTGGCTTTATGCGTTCAAAAATGAAGGTCTTTCGTTAGCTTTTAGTGTCGTGTACGAATCGAGTTGTTTGTAAATCTATTTTTTATTCAAGTTTTCTAAGTAACACAAAACGTAAACTGACTGATCAACAGCTAGGAAACAATAGAAGTCTTACTTTTACAGTGCAATATTGTCGATCATAAAAATTTAAGGATTTTCATGTAGGACCGTTGATCAAATAACTTCAATCGAATTCTGTTTTCTGTTCTCTCAAAAAGAGTTCGCACAAGTGCATTGAAATGAGGCGAAAATAAATTTGCAGCACAGTTTAACGAAACTCCTTTACAAAGAAGCATGATCATTGTGTTAGATAAAGTTGTTGATAAAACTAAATTAATGGACACAAAAAGCAAAGATATATTTGATATAACTCAATAATTGATTAATTATCACAGATTAGACGAAACACAAGCGTCATCTGAATACAAAACAAGTTAATTTTACACACTGTTCATACACGCACACATGACTGTTAGCAATTTGTAATTAATTACTCACTGTTTTTGAAATTGAAAATTTGCTTAAAAACAATAATAATATCAGAAATATTTTACCTATCGAACATATTTCTAGTGATAAATCAAACTGTACATTGTTACTTGCAGTAATAGAAAAAGGAGTAAAGCGGAATTTTTCTGATTGGAATGAAAAAATAAAAAAGGTGATTTCTTAAAATTAAACACATACCTTTCACAATTAAATCGAATTCAATAAGTATTTGTTTTTCTTTTTTGTATAATTTTTCTGGCTTTTCATTACTTTGTAGTCGTTCTAACGGAGTTGAAGCCGAAACGGTTGGCGTTGATGGTTGAGATGATATTATTGCCCCAGGAAGGTTTGAAGCCGATAGAATGGGTGATGACGGCACCAATGGCGACGGAACAGGCGATGATGGTGGTTTATCCATTAGTTTAACACATCTAAAATTGAACAAAACCATATAGATCAACACATCAAAATAAAGATTAAAAATATAGATCAAGATATGCGTTCATTATGTATAAATCTAAGAGATAAAATATGTTTTGTTTTTCTATTGTCAAATATAGAATTTATGAAACTTACAAATCACTTTATATAATTCAATTGATAATTATTCGACACTAACAGGTAGACAAAAACGAATTAAAAATAAGAATCGATTTTTTACTTGTTTATAACATCTGGATGTCTATCTATCTATATGCATATTACAAAAAAATATCTGCTAGCACTACTAGAAAAAAAAAAGGAAGAACACAAACAAAACACACACTAATTTTGTTGAGCTCAATCTTGATTCAAGGAGAATAGATAAACAGTAGATATAGGAAAAATAAAACAGACTCTGGGGCGAAAAAAGAAAAAAAGGTGGTAATTATTGCAGATATTTTTTTCGTCTTTGTTTTATCCTCTCACATACATATATACACGCAAGCATATTGACACTAATGACTGAAGAAAAAATATCTATAATATCTTCATTATATATATTAACATAGTATACATTCCATCAAATAGATAGAATGACGTAAAATCATTGAGTTTCTTTTTTTCCTTTTTCTTTCATAAATAAACAACAATATACTTTATAACACATCTTTTTACGATCATCTCAAAGAAAGAAAAAATATTTAATACAATTCTCATCAAATAATAATTTTGTTGTGTATGTGTGTGTGTGTGTATATTTGTGTTGCTACTATATTTTTATCCGTACGACATAGAGTAAAATTGCGTCTGTAGGATATCAAACATCTCAAGGACAAAAAAGTTTTGATGTCATAAACAGACTTGATGTTTCAGTAGAAATATTAGTCTAACGTTGACACATTCAACAACAACAAGAACAACGAGTGATAACAAATTTCGGAGAAAGTACACTATAGATTCTGTTAAGTTGATGAAAGAGGTCAGACAACAACAAAAAAACAAAAAAATTTGAACTCTTTAGGACAAAATGTCAAATGAAAAAAAAAAAGTATCAGCTTGAATATGATGTATTAATTTAATGTGATGATTAACTATGATGTATCTGTTTTTTTTTAATAAGCAGTGCGGATAGACAAGAAAATGTATCATCATTTATACCCTGTACAATCAAAACCATAAAAAGTTTGTTTATATTATTATACTAGTTCTATATTAGGTTTGACTTCCGTCAACGTATATTTTCAGCGTCCCCATTATCTACAAATAAATTTTTGATCTCTAATTTTTTTATTAACTTATCATCTTATGTCAGAAAATTATTTTCTTCATCTATATTGTTCATCTATCATCAACATGTCACCGCGACTAAAGATAACAAAAATCTAGTTCTCAGACATATTTCGGAAACAACAAGAAAAAATATCATCATCACATTCCTATAGATATCCTACATTCTATACGAAGCATAATTAAAGATATGTAGTATACATGTTTCAAAGAAAACAAAAACATATCTACATTAATCTATCAATTAGAAAATAAGATCAATTATTATATTTATCATTTAGAAGTCTGTTCAAAGATATCTAATAAATAAAGCTCATCTTTAAACAAAGATCTTTAAATCCAAATGGAATGTGGTTTCATTCTTATTATTCACACAGTTACAATAATTGTTGCTCTTGTTTCTGACATAAATAAAGTGTATTTGAAGAAATAAATGTCAGCCAACTTCTGCGTTTATAAGGATAAAGAGATGCTAACTAAGTAGTCAAATAACCATAATTTGGTGTGAGTAAACGATGAGTCACTGTGAATGAAGCACACCTGTGACGAAAAACATGAATTTGCTCTTTTAATACATATTACAACAAACTGCATAACTTTGTATAAAACAATCATAACAAAAACGAAAGGCATATATGATTTCTAGAACGAATATAAACAAGTTCAGGAGGTTGTTCATTTTTATAGTTATTATCGCAAGTTGAAAAGATCGAACTGGCGCTTTTTGATCTGTTTTCTTTCTATATCAAAATGTGATCGTTTTACTTGTTCTAAATAGCAAGTACACGTCAACAAACTAGAAAATTTCTCAGTTCAAACAAAATGCTCATTAATATCATGATGACAGTCTTTATCTTTAACAACGAACATTTTTTTGCGTATCAATGATTGGACTATATTTAACCAATATTGCCATAGCTCTTTAATCTCTGAAGAAAAAAGGTATCAAGAAAAGAGAACATTCCTTTATCGGTTCAGTATAACCATCAGAATTAAGAAAAGTCTTACAAGAGGTATAACTGTAAACGGAGTTCAAGAGCGCCACTTTCAACTCATACTTCTCTATCTTAGTTCATTTAGTTCCACAAGTCACACGTGCATTTATTCCATAAACGATCGGTAACAAACCATCTAACTAGGGCTTCGAATTTTTAGATGACATCAAAAAACAATTCCCACAACTCCTTTGCAACAACAACAGCCAAAGAATCAACCGAGGGATAAGCCCACGAATATTTTGAATAATGATCTTTGACAATGTAATATCCATTGATATATAACGTCACTAGAAATAGAAGCTGGACGAGCACGCATATCGATCAAATCATTCGGATGACGGATCAGTGCACCACATTAGCGCAAAACCGACTTTTTATACGGAGAACAGAATCGATCCAAATTTTTTTTCTGAAGAGCTTATTATGTGAATCGACGGGCAGCAAAGTGTCTCTTGATTCAAATAACTTTTCGCATTTTGGCGCGAATAGTGGCGCCACTTAAAGCGCGTT